GCGGCTCCTCACCAACGTCTTAATCACCACCACGATTATTATTAGCAGGAGTGGCGGAGGGTGGGTGCGTTTTGCTGTACGGCGGAGCATCAGCGCAGAAGGAAAAGGAGCTCCGTCGTTGGAGGTGGTGGTTTTGCTTCCTGGCCTTTTCTTATTGCACCCGGCTGCAAGCAAGCGTTTTCGAGGTAATTATCTGCGGTAGCAAAGAAGAGTGTGCCGGTAGATTATTATTATTATTTTTTGTTTCTGCTAGGGGTTAGTGGTATGCAGAGACCGACGTTGTTGGTGAGCTACACCTGGGCCCATGCGTGTTGTTCAGTAAACTTGCTTTTCCTTTCATTGCTGGCGTTCCAGAATGCAGCGGCGGTGCTGCTCACGAGTTACACGCAGCAACGGCATTTGGCTGCCGGAGCCGAACGGTTTACCGTGACGCACGTGGTATTGATGCAGGAGGTCACAAAGCTCATTGCTTCGCTTGTCTGGTGTGCCGTGGATGTCTACCGATTCGTCGGAGCACACGAGGTTGACATGAACGCGGAGGAGGCGGTTGTGAAAGTGCCGGATGAAACGTGGCAGCAGCCGACGAGGGTTGTCATTGGCAAGGCGGCGCCTGTTCCGACTTTTTCGAGTCCGAGTGAAGACTTGCATCACAAGGACGAGGTGGCGGATGTATCGGACAAAGTTTACTTAACACGTGCGGAGAAATGGAACGTGTGCAAGAGACGATTCTTCTTGGAGCTTTTTCACCAGAGTGCACTTTGGATGCTGTTGCCGGCGGCGCTCTACTCTCTGCAGAACTGCTGCATCTACCTTGCCCTTGCAAACATTGAGCCAACACTTTTTCAGGTGACGTATCAATCAAGAATTTTCATCACATTACTCTTCATGGTGTGTTTTATGAAGCGCACCTTTTTGCTGCGGCAGTGGCTGGCCCTTGTTCTGTTGGTATTCGGCGTCACCGCGGCGCAGCTGGGGAGCCGGGTTTCTCTGGTGTCGAATCAGTCGACGGTGGGGATGTTTAAGGGGGACTGCGTCACTGGTGTCGTCGCCACCGTTGCCTCCTCCACGCTGTCCAGTGCCGCCTCTGTTCTCATGGAGGCTTTTTTAAAGTCCACGTCCATTTCAATGCGCTCGTTTACCTCCACGAAAAATGTGCATCTTTCGTTTTACTCGGCACTGTATATTGCCTTGCTTCAGCTACTGGGCGATGGCGGGAAGGCCTTCACCGAGCTCAGTCGTACTGGACTTACGGACTCTGTTGGGGCGTACTTTTGTGGCTTTGACTACCTTGTCTGGATGCTGGTGCTGGTGCAGTCCATTGGGGGGTTGTTGGTGGCGGTGGTGCTTAGATACTCCGATAATATCATGCGGACCTTTGCCTCGGGCGTCTCTCTCATGCTGAGCGGCTTTTGCTCCTCCTACCTGTACTCGTTTATGCCGAGCACATTGTTTTTGATTGGCAACGTCGCATCCATCGGGGCAATTACGTTGTACAACTGTTAGCCAAATGCGCGTGAGAGAACAGCCCGTAGTTTTTTTTTTTTTTTGTTGCCGTTGTGTTTTGTAGTTTTACTTCGTTTGCGTCCGCCTCTGGAGTCTTGTACCGCGAGGCGTGGGGCCCTTGCGGACAGCTCGACTTATCCGTCTCTCTGTAGCTGACTCTCTAGTTGGATGGGAGTTGTAACATGCACGTATCCGACGTCAGTTCTGTGTGCCTGGCCCAAAGTATAATCTTAAATGTGCATATATATATATATACATATACATAGACGGCAGCTACACCGTGCGTACAGGAAAATAGAAAAATAAATAAATAATGGGTTTACTGCGGTATAGGTGAAAAGAGACTGAATGCATGACTGCTTGAATGAGGGAAATAAGAGGCAACGTTTGGGCGTGCTAATCTTGTTGTGTTCACTGTGTAACTTCGTTTTTTTTTTGTTTTGCCACCATCTGTGCGCCTGTGGAGGCTAGGAAGGAAAAGGATCTGACGGAGCGTAACAAGAGCCAAAGAAGGAAGACGGAAAAAGCAACAAAAAAACAAAAAACAACAACAACATACACACGGCGTGGAGGAGTTGTTTGTTTCGACGCACTTGTTAGCGGGCTTCACGCAAAGAAAGCCGCATACACACATACACACGTGTCAGCACAGGAAAGAGGAGGAGAGGGCGGCAGTGTGTGACGCACGTCTTAGTGTTTTTTTTTTCCTCTAGACGTCGTCTCGTCTTGGTTTCTTTGTAGGTGTGCTACGGTAAAGCAGATTGTTTTTTTTTGTTGTTTTTCTTAGCCACAGCAAGCCCCCCCTCTCCCCTCCGCTGGCACGTTCTCCACACTTTAATTACTCACATCCGTCCACATCTATATAATATAATATATCTATACCTAGATAGGTGGCGTTTACGAGGTTGTGTATTTTATATATCTGACAGTTTTTTTTTTCTGTTTGTTGTTTCAGTGGCGTTTTGCACATACCCTCTTTTTCTCTCCGTGTGTGCGTGTGTGTGTGTGTGCGTGGCTGTTTGTTTCCTTGCTGGTACACAGTGTTACTGTGTAAAAGGGATCGGGCGGTGTATCGCGTCGTCTATTCCATCTCACGGTCTCCCTGCCTTCTGCTAGCCCGGTTGCTGCAGCAGAAGCGATTAACGGCTTGTGCGTGAGGGAGGGACGCGGATGGAGGCGCCGCCGAGTTTGTTTGAGGAGCGGGCCGGCCTTTTCGTGGGGCCGGCGGACTCGTCGAGCTCTTTCACCCCCAGCCGACAGGGCGCCGCCCTGCTGCAGGAGAGAAAAGGTGGGGTGTGGAGGCTGCAGGAGAGCCGCAACACCAGTGGTCTGCCTGGGGACAACTTCAATGTGCTTAGCGCGGACAAGGCGGAGACCCTCTCCATCCCCGCTAACCTCATTGAACCTACGACTGGATCGCAGAACTACCTGGCGAAGAACCAGAGCAACGCGGCCCCCACCTTCTCTTTTTACCTTTGCAAGATGTATACAAGTGGCTCAACCTGTGCTCGCGGCTCCCACTGTGACTTTATTCACAGTCGTCACGTCCTGGCAGATGTATCACATTGCAGCGGGCGGGTTAAATCTATTCAGGTGCACTGGTCGACGCCCATTGATTCTATGGCGGAGGCTGTGTATGAACGACATGAACCCGGATTTGTGTTTCACATCAATCAAAGCAACTTCTTCGGGAATACTAGCCAGACCTCCAGTAATCCACCGGATAGGCGACGATTGGCCTCGGAGCACGTTTATAAAACAAAAGGGAGTGAAAGTGCCATGCTGCATGGCTCAGGCATGATGCTTCGATTGTGCAAGCACTACGAACGTGAGAAATGTGCAAGGGGAAGAATGTGCCGTTTTGTTCACCGCGTGCATTTGAGCACTCCCGCACCGGCAACCCTGTCGCCATCAATGCCAGCGATAGTCCCAACGATATCAGCACCCTTCTCCTGCAACCAAACAGTCGATCGCAGGACTATGAGCGTATGTCAAAGCCCTACCAACACTCAGTTACGTCTTTCACCAAACGTTAATTGCCTGAAGACTGTCCCGCAGGTTCACCCTCGACATAATATTGACCTCTCCTTTGATGCTAGTGGTGTTTCACGCGCTAGTGGTGAGGTTTTCATGGCACCGTCAATTATGCTACCGGCCCACTCACCGTCGCCGTCGCCGCTGCAACCAACGCTACACCCACAGCAGTTGCAAAATCCACTACCACAGTTACATTCCTCGATTTTGCGGCATCCGACAGGGTACTCTTTTACCCCTGTGTACACTCCTCAGCAGTCGCCGTATATGAGTACTCCGACAGGACAAATGTCGGCAACGGCCTTGCAAATTTCGGCCTCATACTACGACGAGTCTCAGCGGTACGGCAGATTGCAGCAAAATATGACGTCAAAACTTCAGCAACAGTCGTCGGTGCTTCCACCGTCTCCGGCCCCGGATTATGTCTTGTCGCAGGTCTTGTTTACCCTCATGTAGGCACTCAAGGCAGGGCATGAAGTTCGACGAATCCCATTGAACGTCTCTAGAGCGGTTTGCCCCATATGACACAGGGCGGTTAGGAGGGGTAGTGTAGGGCAAGGAGGCAATCCATACTGCAGTTTCAATCACCTTTGTTTGTTTTCTCTTGGAGATGTTTGACGGAGAGAAGGCTGAGTGATGATACGTTTTTGTTTTGTTTTTCTTTAAATTTTCATTTTCCTTCTTTGATTCCTTGTCTTGGCTTTTGGCGTTTCTTGTCGCTGGCAAGAGCTACCGTATTGCTTTTTTTTCTTTTCGGTTTTGTGACTGTATGCGTTTTTTTCTTCTTCCTGGGGTACTGTTATTGCCTATTGGCGCGCTGGTGTCGACTCCCACTGCAATTTCCCCATATACGTCGAGTGCACATATGATATCCATTGGAAGTATTCCACGTGCACCTAATTGTGTATGTATGTATGGGTAGGAGAGTGTATTTGTGCCTCAGGTTTTTTTTTTTTCTTTGTTGTGTGCGCCACCGTTGCTGAGGCAGTTTCGTGTACGCGTGATGTGGTGGGAGGGTTGCGGGAGGGGAACAAATCAACGCGGTCTGCCTCAGTGATGTTCACCGTTGTCGGATGGAGAGCCCTTTCCGTTGTTTTCCTTCTCTCTCACTATGCCTGAGTGTCGCTGCGGTGTGATATTATGAATAATATGCATTTAATGAACTTTGTTAGTCGCAGCGCACTACCCACAAGCATCTTTGTTGTCAAATTTTTTTATGTCTGTGGCCGCTTATATATATATATATAATATATATATATATATATATAATATAATATAATATAATATAATATAATATACATATATGCATTTCTGCGCCCGTGTGTGTAAGTGTTTGTGATATCACTATTTTCCACTGGAACCAAGCTCATCTGTGCCGATACTGATGCCTGTTGCTGTTCCTCATGCTGCGTCAGCGCAAGCTGCAGGGATGTGCATTGACGAAGGAGCCGTCCATCATGCCTCTCTCGCTTTCTTTCTCCGTGTGTACGGTGGGGAAGCCAACGAGAAGCACAGGTCAAACAACTTTTTTTGTTTTATTTTCTGAAGTGGAGGTTTGCTCTGATGGCGGCTCGAAGAGATGTGAATGTGTGAGTTGCCCAGCACTTATGAAATATCTTACTTGTGGGCTCACCAGTGTGTGAAAGGGAATACGCGGGATCACTCACGAAGTCCACGGCGGGCGCGACGGAAAAAATGTCTCCTTATTGACGTTCTCCCCACCTTCAATGCAATATACACGCACACATTCCAGGAATGCATGCATGGCCTTTCTCTCTCTCATATATATACATATTATATAATATAATATATATTCATATATTCATATATTCATATATAAATATATATATATATATATATATAAATAAGTATATGTATATATGTCTTAACGCTCGGTATTTCAGTCCACTCGCAACGTTGACTGCACCCCTTGGGTTTCACATTCTTCTCTCTTCTATTTTGACGTCACGTTTGCCACTGGCAAAGCCCCCGTATGTATAACTGCACATACGCTATATATACGTATGAAACGATGTGCTTCCATGCGTGTAAGAATATATATATATATATATATATATATATATATAATTGCCTTTGCTTCCACTGATGTCACGTATTTTTATTTTCTGTTTATCCGTTTTCATTCGCCCTTTTCTTTTTTCTGTGTCCCTGTGCAGGGTAGGGTGGGGAGCGACACATGGGTCTGTGTGCGTGCGTGTATGCCCTGAGCGGAGTCCCTACGCTCATGGGGGCGTGCAGAGGAAAGGAGCGATCGCAAACAACAGAATGACAAAGGAGAGAGGAAAGAAACGAATAACGTGACGCAGAACAAAAGAACGTAATTATAATATATGTGTTAAGTGCGGGAAAAGATGGGGGGATGGGCAGAAAAGAGTATATTTGTACCGAGGTAGCGGAGCGACACGGGGAACCAAGCGTGTTTGACGCCCACTTGGCTCTTGCTGCTTCTTTTATAATATAAAATATACCTGCTTGCGTGTGCGCGCAGCGGCGTATGGAAGGCCCTTTTTTTTTGATCTTTATTTATTTATTGTCTTCCATGCACCTCTCAGTGCTGCAGTATCCACCTCGACTGGCGGAGCCCACAGATGAGCAGACGCTCTCTCTCACTGCTCTGCCTGCTCCAGTTTGATCCTCCTTTTCTGCCGCCTTCCAGTCCCCCTCCCCCGCTCCTGTGGCACCAAGGAAGGACAATGTAAAAAGTGCAACACAGCAATACTGGAGCGTCAGCGACGACGCTGCCGCCATCCCCCGCTGTTTGGAGTGCGCATTTGAGCGGACAGGCGGAGGGGAAAAGTGACACCCACAAATGACGACGGAGCACACACGGCGCTGAAAGTATTTGCGCAACGTTTAGTGTCAAACAGAATCCTCAGCTAACGGGATTCACTGAACCCGCGGCGGCGTCTCGCCCCCTTGTGCGGGGAGCCACAATGAGTGTGGGCACAAAGGGAGAGCGACCTTCTTGTGCCTCTTTCTGGAGCCTTGTATTTTGCCGGTGGTGACTGCAATGATAATTTTTTTTTTTTGTTGTGTGTGTGTGTGTGGGCGCTTGTATCGTTTCCGTTTCGCGCTGGGAGCGCATGAGATTTGACTGCCTTGGGGTAGACATCATCACCGCCATAATTCTGTTGGCTGCCACGGCAACGAAGTTCGTGGGACTCTCCTGCGTGTGTATCGAACTCTTGCATTTCTTCCTTCTGTGTGTACGTGCGTGCGTGTTTGCGTTGGGTCGCAGCTTGCTCCGGTGGGTGACTAGTCGAGGGTGAGGACGTCACAGAGTCAAGGAAGTGGGAGAGGGTGAAAAATTCATCACTAGTTAGCAAGTGGAAGAGAAAGAGAGCAAAAAGAAGGATTGGGATAGAGAGAGTGGTTGCAGAACAGATCATTCATGATGACAGAGCGCGTGGAGAGTGTACTTGAGCTTCTCACGTACACCAAGGGCGTTGCGGGTGTTATTGTGTGCAACCGTGACGGAGAACCCATACGCGATAGTTTTCAGGACTTGGACCGCACGAAGGCGGTGGAGTACGCCGACATGGCGGCCGCGTTGGCGCGCGAAGCAGCCCCATTGCTGCATGCAGATGACACACTAGACTCCCTGCGGGTACGCTCCCGCACAAATGAGGTTATTATTAAGTGCCACGACGAGTTTCTGCTGGTCGTTATTCAGGAGTTCACGGAGTGACGAGGTTACTTCCAGACAGTCTTTCTTTGACTGTCTTTGCATGTGGCGGTTGTACCAAACTGAGTACTTTGTAGATCCGCATCTTTCCTATACACACACACACACACACACACACACACATATGCCTGTGCATACTCTTGGGCATAAACATGACACATTATTATTATTATTTTTTTTTTGTTTAATTTTTTTTTTTTTTTGTCGAATGAACGTGATGACAAAGGTCGATGGTTTGTGGGGGGCCGTTGAGCACCAGGGAGGGACTGAACGTGGCCTCCGGTCGCATGGTGAGTGATGATGTGCCAGTCAAAGACATTGTAGAGGCACGACAACACATGCGTCTCATTCAGCAATTTAAGAAGGCACAACGGCAACGCTACGTGAAGGAGGCGGAAGCGATACGGCGGCAGCGGAGGCAGCGGAGCTCCGCAGCAGCGTATTGGGAAACCGCACTTGGCAACTTTGCCAATGCCAATCGAAGTAAGTTGTGTTTGCTCGTGCTAGGGTGTGGGACGCCGCCACATCTGCGGCCGCCAACATGGGTGATGGCCCTTGGCAACACACTGAACATAACGAGGGTGAACTTTGAGGTGGCGCAACGAAAAGCGCAGGACTTTATCAAGGAGGAGAGAGAGTCGGAGGGCGCACAAGCTGCGTTGAATGGATTTGCCGCTGCATCTGTCCGTCTCCGTACCGTGGGGCCAGACTTTTCCTACTGCACCTCCCTCGCTGCGGGTGTCAGTATTCCTCTCGGGGAGTGGCGGTTAAGGCTTACCGAGGAGCTGGACGCGGAGCTGCCGCGCCCCTTGCGGACGGCGCAGGATACGGTCAGCATTTTCCACGCGACGTTTCCCATCGTGAGAGCAACGACCGCAGTGAATCAGGAGAATAAGCTACACCGCGATGATAAAAACTCACAGGGTAACTCGACTGGAGGCACCAAACCACCACTACCGATTTCAGAGTGCCGGGCCATGGCGTTCTTGGGGGTGATAAACACGGAAGGAGTGGAGATTGCCGCGGATAGGGCGGCAGGAGGCACTACTACTGTTGCGTGCGACAGTGGTGGTACTGGTGAAGAGGAGGAAAAGGGAGATCCAAGGGCGGCGGTTAGTCGAAGCCCATCATTTTCAAACGGAGGCCCCTGCTTGCGGAAGCGCACACACATCGGCGCAGAACCTGCGGTAGGTTTCTCCTGTTCTTTGGTTACCCCAAATATGATGGCTTCTATACAAACAGGGGACGATAATGAAAAGGATCTATCTTTATCTTCCATGCTGAATGAAAACGTTTTAAGAAGGGTGGAGCTGCTGCTTCGAACACACATGGAGCTTCGCTCGGAGTTTGGTTATGTAAAGGGCATGTCTTGCCTGGCGATGATGCTCGCTGTTGTTGTCACGGATCCGTGGGAGTTGTGTGTCTGCTTTTCTAGTTTATTGGAGTATGGCCACTTGGCATCGTTTCTCTCACTGCAGCAAAAAAGTGTTATTGTCCACCTTAACATATTCGATGCCGTCCTACAAAAGTCGCAACCGGCATTGCACGCGCTGTTTCAGAAATACGGAGTGCCGCTGAATTCATGCCTCTTAGACTGGTGGAACACAGTTTTTCTAGGAACTTTGCCGTACACGGCCGCCTTGCGCTCTTGGGATCTTTTCCTCTTGGACAAGCACTACCTCTACCGCATCACCCTCGCCCTCTTGGTCTATCGGTTTGGTCTCTACAGCAAGACTGCACGGAAGTCTCTCCCACACTCGTACCACTCGCAAGAAGAGCTGTTGCAGGTCTTAAATCCATCTCTTTCAGAGACCCATATGAGTCAACAACTTTTCTTTTGCATTATAGCGAGTGATGCGTTATGTGGCATTCACATGCGCTCTATTCGCTCCATTGTGAAACGTATGACAAATGCTTGTTTCTCGCATTAATAGAATGTCGCACCATCACATTGGCGTCAGCATCCACTGACTACTGCAGTAGTCAGTGGGGTCATATTATATAATATAATATAATGCATATAAATATCTTTATTAGGCTATCGATGTGGGGTTTGTGTTATGGGCGCGGATGGGGTGGCGAAGTCCTTGATTGTTTTTTTTTTTTTTTTGTACCTGTTTGTGAATTTTCGCAAACAGCGAGTCATGCACGCGTGCAGGTTTCAGTGTATGTGTGTGCCTGTGGGGTTTGTTAGTTAATTTGTTTGCTTTGTCCTAAAGCAGTTTCCCTCTGGAGAGGCTGGGTGACTGGGAAAATTCATTTTTACCGGTTTTTTCCCCCCCCCCTTGCCGGTTTGTCTTCTCCCACACATACACACATCTTCCTGTTTTTGTTCTGCGTGTGTGGGGAGGGCACGGTGGCCACATTGGAATGTTTTGCCTCACGCAGCTCGCACGGCGTGGCAAGAGGCGAATTGTGCCCCGCACAATCGCGTCGCTTCCGACTCCATCGTTGCGTGGCGGCTGGGGAAAAATAGGCCGCATGTCACCAGAGGACAGGCGAGAGGTACTGCAGGGCGCATGGCGAGACGCGAAACCCGTGAGACTTCTGCCAGATGCCTCCGACCGCGACGCGGGTGGGTTCGTGGAGGGTGTAAGTTTCCGAACAGACGAGGAGGCGGAGGCGTTTCTCGCGGAGGAGATGGAGGCGGACCGCTCCGAGCACGACGTTCCTGCTCTACATCTCGCACGAAATTTTTTTGAGGAGTTGGCGGCGACCGCAGACAGTGAGGTGGATATGGAGAACGCGCTGGAGACCACCGTCGCGTCCGACGTGGAGCGTGCGGAGGAGGAACGCGGCATGCACCGTCAGTTCTTCGCGGATTTTTACGTGCAGCAGGGAATTATCGGTGTGGAGGAGGTGCGTGCGTTTGTGGACGTCATGCTCTGCCCTCCAACAGCCATGGTGATGGTGAACGCGGGGATGCCGTTTGTGCGTCTCATGATGCGGTGTCAGTTGGAGCACCACATGCGGGTCTTGCAGGCGACGCACAACGGCGTCGTTTTTGCGCCGCATCCCGTTCACCCGCTGCTGTACATGGTGGACATGGGCCCCACACAACGCCCTGGCGACGACTCGCTTTGCCTCCGATATGCGCAGGATCGCCTGCGGCCGTCTCAGCAGGAGACGCAAAGGACGCTTACTGTGCATGCTACCGGCGACGTCAATGCACTACCGGCGTGCTCTTCCGTCAAAGCAGAGGTGGAGCCGGGGAATCTTGAGGTGGAACTTATGGAGGCACTCCTAAGTGATGAAACCAGCTTACGTGTAATTCAGACCATTCACACAGAGAAGCATGAAGAAAAGGAGGAGGACAATAATCTTGAAAAAACGTTCACATTGAATTCAGTTGAGGAGTCGGCGTTGACGTTGCAGCCAGGGATTTTAAGCGCCCCACTCTCCGTTGGCCACCTGTATTGGCTGCAGCGACAAATGGCTTCAGATACCCTTATTGATATGGATGTGCTCGGAGTGCTGCTTCCCTTGGTGTTTGGACGCTGCCGTAAGGAGAACAGCACAACTATTATTTTAGACATGTCTTTGCGTTCCCACAATGTGCAAAATTACTCATATGGGCAAGATATTGCGGGGCGTTTTGGGATTGCGCGCGACGATGTGGTGGAAGCGGAGGGAGGAAGAGCTGCAAAAACGGTCATCATTTCTCTTCTTTTGCCAAAATCAGCACAAAAGAAAACACGGCGTCACGGCAATGCATTGCAAAGCTTGAAGGCCACTTTGGAGGAAGTCCCTGCGAGCGAAGTTACATTGGGCATGGGGCAGTTGCACACTGCAGGTTACCACGTGGGGATTGAGAATCGTATTACAGCACGAGGCTCTTCACGACATCTGTGGGGCACATTACGTGGAAAATGTGATGCGGTGCTTTGCTTCCCTGCCACAACGGCAGATGGGCGCAGACCACGCACTGTAGCAGGAACAAGCGCCGAGGAAAAAACTAAAGAGGCCGTCGCCAATCGATTTGTCTCTGTCTGCTCGAGCGTCATGAAGTTGTTTCCGTACCTAAGACAGGAGCTCGCGCAGGCGTTGGAGTATGCCCGGTCACACGGGGGTGTTGTTGTGTATGCGACGGACAGTATGAACCCGCTTGAAAATGAGGCTGTTATCTGTTCTGTTCTTACGGAGTTCAAGCTGAAATACCCGGGTCGTGAGTACCGCCCCGTTTCTCTACTGGAGCGTCTCACAGAAGAAGATGCCGATCTCTTGCGTTCCTGTACGACGGGAAGCCAACAGGGGCTGAGTACGTGGGTCCCACTGCAAGATGGGCCGCAGGAGCAGGAGCCTTCGTACTGCGATGAAGAAGTTGTGTCGATGGTCGCTCGTCACTCATGGCGGGCTGCGCCACTACGCACCAACGGTGACGTGTGCTTCGTTTGTGTGATTGAGCTTCATGAGAGTGTTTCCAGTTTGCCACCACCGCCACCACCGTCATTGGCCAGTGAGGGTAAAATTTCAACCCTGTCTGCCTTCCCTTGGCTAGACACTGTGAGGTTGCACGACCGCTGGGGACTGCGTATCCACCATAGCGAAGGGCGAAATGCATTTGTGGCCATTACCCAAGCGACACTCCACACGATTAACACCTTAAACTCGCCACGGTGTGAGCACGACTATGAAATCATTGACTACGGTGTGTCCATTCATTCTCCTTTCATGACGCACCTGCAAGCGCCGGAAGCCGTCATCAGTCCTTCGCTGAGTGGGACGCTGCTGGCGCTTGCACTCTGTGACTCTACACATGTGAATTGTCGCTCTTCTCACGTTCTGGAACTTCCTGTTGTGGCCCTCTTGGAATTGTTGCACACCAGGCGTATTTCGTTACGTCGCGTGAGTGAGTTGCTGGGTGGGGTTCCATTGGGGTGGGATGCATCTGCCCCGGATGAAGGTGTGTCGACCGTGTTTTTAAAAGCAGCAGTACCGAGCGTAGGGGAATTAGCGGGGGGTGACATGGAGCTACATGAAGCTGTGGCGGACGAGTTGGGGAAGCTTGTGGTAGTAGCTCTGGCACAAAAATGCCGCAGTCCGCAGACGCGGACGAACACGACCGTTCTGACCTTGGCGTGTGCTACGACGCGCGAGCGCAGCGAGTTGGAGGAGCGTGTGGTGGCGATTGGAGACGCATTGCGCTACCTGCTACGCCGCCTAGGCCACCCCGCGACGGTGTGGGGACCCCTGAGTGGGCTTGGCGAAGTGGGGCCGCAAGTGCGGGATGACGAGTATGAGGTGGTGGCGCCGCCGCCTTCTTCCTCCTCCGCAGCTACGGATGGTGACGCTCACTGCCTTCTTGGTCGCCGGGAGAGGGCGCGCCACGCATGGAAAATTCGGAAATTGGGCAATACGCTGCGCTTGTTGGGCGGTGCTGCTGACGACGACGACGACCCGGCAAGTAACTGGGAGAGGGATGTGCGACGCAGACGCCATGGGAATCGCTCCGCTGCAACTCCGTCTTTTTTGTGCAACGTATGATCCAACGTCTTGTCGCGCCTCTTTTGTATGTGTGTGGACGGTCTTTCTACCTCCTTTGGTTATTTTCTCTCCCCTTCTACACACACTCTCTGTCCTCATCACCGTGTGGCGCGTGGCATGTGTTTTTGTTTTGTTCTGTCCCCTTTGGACGACGGCAGACGCTTTCTCCTAGGATTCACTTTTTGTTTACTTGCTTGCTTCCCCCCCCCCGGCGGCGCACACCGCTGCCTTTCCAGCAGTGATGTGGGTTTGAGGTATAACGCCCCACACACGCACAAAAACACTGAAAACAAAAAAAAAAGAGCTAAGCGGGAAGGAGCTTGCAGGTTTTTCCCGCCGCGGCTAGGGACATTTCTTCACGATGTCTTTCTTGGCGCCCGCGGAGTCTTCTCAAAACGGGTCGTCCAACGCTTCAGGGGAAGCAATGGAGCTGCACGTGCTTCTTAGCAACACGCAGTTTGCCTTTCTTGTGGTCTTCTGTGGTGTCTGCCACTACTTTGCTCTCGTTGTCTCCGCCCTTACGGTGGGTGAGTCAACCACTACGCTGACTTTACCGTTTGTCTTGGTGAAGAAGTTGCTGGCGAGTTGCGTTGCGGCCGTCAGAAAGTTCGTGTGGCGGCGGAGGGAACATGTGTTCGTTGGTGTTGGCTACGACGACGACGACGCGAGCATCGATCGCTTTGATGCCATGAATCAACCAGCGGAGGCCGGCTTTCAGTGATGCATCAGGTGCATCCGTTGGCCCAGAACCAACAGAAAAAAAAAAAGGAAACGTAAAGACGTGCACGACAAGGAAAATGGTGGAAACGAAGCAAGCGACAAGCAAAGATACAGAAAGAGTGTGAGAGAGGAGGAGGGGTGGGGGGATAGAGAGAGCGAGAGAGGGAGGATGCACGGATTGCATTTTGTGGGGTCTTACGCGTATATCTACCGCTGTTTTTTTTTCCCCCCCACTCGTTTACATCGTCTCTCTTTGGTCCGCCAGTCCCACCCCTCTCCCCCTTTTTTTACTGCAGTTACACGGATGCGGTTTCGAGGAAGTGTGGACCGCGTTGGCTCGCATGCATGCAGCTGAACAGCTTAAGGAGGAAGAAAGTTGGAGCAATGCGTGGATGCTTGCATTCAAATGCATCTGTGTACTTTGCTGCGCTTCAGCCCTCCCCCCACCTTTTTTTTTTTTGGGTGTTTGCATCTTCTCTTTTTGGAGCTGCGAAGGTGGACGGTGAGGAGAACAGAAGGAAAGGCAAAGCGGCGGAAAAGCTGCTGTGTGTTGTGTTTGCTTTGTCGCCTGATGTTTGCCAGAGGCACGGCGATGGAGTCGATGGTGCGGATGAGCCAAAATGTGCTCAGCCGCGTTGTGGCGCAGGAACGGGATAACGCCATCCTGCAGGGTGATGTGCGGCTGCGTGAGGAGGAGGCGCAGCGGGCGGAAACGGAAGAGCGGGTCGCTTTTGCAGAGGTGGAGGTTTCGCTGCAGGAGGTGGTGCGCTTGTGTCTTTTATGTGCCACTTCAGTACCGGACGAGGCGGTGGTGGACGCGGTAGTGCGGCAGCTGACGCAGCACATTGGCGAGGAGGCGGCGGCGGCGGCGCAGTCCTTCGCTTTGGAGGCGCAGCATGAGAGGGTGGCGCTTCTCGCCCGTCGCGCGGCTGCGGAAGAGGAGAAAAGGGCCCATAACGACGAAGACGCGTGTCGTCAGGAATGCGCCGAACGCACAGTCGATGAAGAGGTGGCACAGCACGAGCGACTAGAAATCATGCGGGTGGAGCAGGAGCGCCTGGAACTCGAGCGACGTACGGAATTGACAACACTGCGGTACGCCCGTGAACTGTTTCACGTGAACGTGGACTGAATCCACTTGCTCTGCCGCAGCCTTCTATCGTCCACTCGCTGCGGATGCCGGTGAGCGTGCCTGTAGACGTTGCCTCGTCTCTGTCTGTGTGCTGTGCCCGTATGGTCTGCGCTGAGAGTTTCGTGGTGGGCGGGTTGGTGAGACGTTTCTGCAGAATTTCTTTACGCCATGGCTTTTGTTTCCCACGTAACGATGTTTCTATATTTTTTTTGTGTTTTTTTTTTCTTCCCCCCAAACTGCCTGGTCGGGTACATGTGGGGTTCCGCCCAGTTTGAGAGCGAAGAGGAAAGAGAAGCGAAAAGGAGTAAATTTATGGCCCCGCCTAAAGCACCCCTTCCGGCCCGCCTCATCGCCGGGGACTTCCTGGGCTTCAACTGGAACAAGGTGACCTGGATGGCGCCGTACAACAACTTCTACCCCATCACGGTGTGCGGAGGCCTCGGTGGGCGTCTGTGGTCGTCGTTCATTCAGTACGGCCACTTCCACAACCGCACGGGCTACAATGTTTTGCGCAACGGCATGTTGGCCATTCCATCGGCCTTAGCTGCCTTCATCATGATCTCGAATGTCGACTGGTACCAGGGGCTTGCGTGTGCATGCTTCTGCCTGCAGCAGGAGGTGCCGACGTGGGCGCAGACGCAGTACGCGGAGGAGATGGTGTACCTCTCCTGGAACAAGCCCGGTGCGATGGCGAAACACCACTACGCCGGGTCCGTCTCGATTCCCGGCACAGAGAAGCTGATCATGGAGTAGAGGAAGCTGCGGGGATGAGGAGGTTGGGGAGGAAGAGGCGAAGGCCTTTGCAGTCGTAGTGCTTAGGGAAGTAGCAAAAATCAAGGGACTATGAAAAACGGAAGGAAAAAGAAAATAGAATACGATAGTAGTACAATGCCTCAACACAAATGATGCTCATAATGTAGGAATAATATATATATATATATATGTACTCGATAATTGACATGCAACGTATATATTGTGGGACGAAACTGAGTCGGAGAACGGTGTGAATAGGTGGGGGGATGGAGCAGAGAGTGTTCTTTCTGACGTCTTTCTCCTCCTCCAAGAGACCGGGTGTCCAACGTGGGAGCTACGGGAGAACATGTTGGACGGCCCACACCTCCTTGAGGTGCCCGGGGCTTGCAGGGTGAGGGTAGTCTGTTTGAGTGTGGACTGTGACGGGTTCGGTGCCGACAGACTCCAAGCAGCGCGGCATAGTTCATTTTGGTTTTGTAGGATGCGAATTTGGTATCTCTACTGCCCTTCCCCTCTTCCACCCCGTCGTTTTTTTTTTTATATATTATTATTCTTATTATTGTTTTGGCCCCTCTCTGCGTTGTCTTGTGCCGATACGTTTCGTAGCGAAGTGGCGGCCATAGCACCACGCTCCCTACCTCTCAGCAGTGCTAGTTGAAAACGCCTAGCGATATAAGTAGAAGAAACTCTTTGCGTGGCCGCATGACAGGGTCTGCAGTGGAACATGCAGCGTTGCTAGATCGGATTTGCAGCGAAATACATCTGGCGCAGCGGCAGGTGCGCCGTAGCCGCGAGGTGCGAAGCAAATACGGGGTGGTGTGTGGCAGTGCCACGGACTGTGCTGTTGATAAATTGTCAGCGTCGTCGCTGGATGTGAAGCCGCGACAGGTAACTCCACCTGTACGTTTAGCGGGCACGCCGTGCGATAGGAGGTTGTCTCCGTATACGAGTGAGGCACATTCATCGCCGGCGTGGGCACGCAAGGAGGGGACACTTCTCCATCTTGAGAGGAGGGTGCTTGGCCGCGAGAGGTTTGTTTCCCATTTTGTCGTTATCGATGAACACGAGGGTATCTTATGGTATCAAGACAAGAAACACTCTCGCACTGCGTCGTCGCGGCCGCTTGGCCACGTCCCATTCTGGAAGGAGACACGGAACTCCCGCGGTAGCCGGTTTAAGAGGGCGGCGGTGTGCTGGCCACTGATCCTCCCGGAGGACTGCTCCAAAGCAGATGACCCGCATAAAACGTATTTTGCAATCGAGTACCTAAACGACAGGAACAACTACAGTAAACTGATTTTTGCCGCCGAGAGCGCAGAAGAGCGCGACGCCTGGGTGTTTTTCATCACACAGTTTCTTGAGATGTTCTTGCCACTGCGTGCGGAGTCGGAGGGGCTGAAGCACCTCCCACGCGGTGCAGTAGTTCCGCGACACTGTTCGGAGGTTATCTACGGGGAGCCGCCCTGCGGTAATGTTTTGTAGACATTGTTCGGCTGCAGCAGGGCGTCGGCATTTGAACTTTCCCTGTACTTCTTCGTTGTCGTAGTGCGCCCACCCCAAATCTTTGTCTGCTCTTTGTGTTTTCGTTTCTCCCCACCTCCTTTTTTTGTTTTTGTTTTGTTTTGCTTGTACCACGCACGCCAACCTCCCTTGTCTTTCAGCGCGGATGCTATCTCCCGTGTCGCCTTTCTCTTCCTTGTTTCTGGCAAATTGACTGTGTGTGTGTGTGTGTGGGCCAAAGCAAAAAGGGAGCAGCAACAGACGGGGGGCGGTGGTGTCTAGGGGAGCCACGTGGACTGCTTTTCTCATTAATAAATTTTTGCTTATTTTTTTTTTTTTACGGTGGCACATGTCGCTTCCAATTATTCGTCTGCGCACCGTGAACTTGAACCATGCGACGGCGGCGGAGGACCCTGTTACGGCCTCCTGCACGCTCTACAGTTTTCTTCGCTCCGTTCCAACTCGCTTTGAATGCGAGATGGCGATGAGCGACTTTAGGCACGGCGTCCAGGCGGCGCAGGGACACGTGTACCTGACGAAGAACAACGCCAAGATGCTCACCCTAGTCTCCGCTGTCGTCCAGGACCATATGTTTCGGCACCCGCCAAAGGTGAGTCCACAGCTAGCGAGGACGGCGCCAACGTGGCGACGGCTGCTGAACAAGGAGGAATTGACGGGACCCGCGCCGGACTCGACAGCAGCGGTGCAGTTGCAGGGCAACGCAAGCGTCCTGCGCGACGACGAGAGCACGCAACCACCGCAGCGACCGAGCCCCTTATCATCCGTGGACGCGAGTGGGCAGCGCGGACACAACGCCTACACGGGTGATGAGCCTTGCGACAGCAGCGAGGAGGTGGTGGTGATGGAGACAGTCTCCACAACCTCCACGCGGTTCAAGAGCCCCTACGAGCAAATAATTCCACCCACCTGCTTGCCGGCGCCAGAGCACACATCCAGCACAGCAGCGATAGAGATTGACGCGGGGACGGAGGAAAATCAAGAGGCCGACACGGATGACGGGCACCGCGAGGGAAGCATCCACCTTCCAGGAAAACGTTACAGGCCGCACCCACTGCTTCTTGCCATTTTGGAGCGGGTTCGCGTCTCCTGCACGGCTGAAGAGCATGAAAGCGACCAAGAGGAGCGTGAGTTCAACACCATGATGGAGTCGAGAGAAAAAGCTCTCCGCACTAAACTAGCGAGTGCCTTTTCAATGATTTCACCCAATAACAAAGGCTGCATTGCGTTTTTGCAGAAAATAGAGGCACGTATCGCTGCCGCGAAAAAACTCTTTGAGGTTCAAAAGTACGAGGAGGAGACGATTAGGATGACAGAATGTGCATTGAAGCTTGAAGTTGCAGCGATGCGAGCGATGCTTCGCCAGATTGTGGACGCCGTCGCAGATGCAGAGGAACGTCATGAGCGGGAAGGTCCTCGCAGTTTACACTACGCAGAGGAGTGCCAGGTTATGGCAGCAATCCAGCAGGCCCTGGAAGAGTTGCCTTAATAAACCGAGTATTGTAGGCTCTCTTTCCACGTCCACGGTTCTGTTGGCATTCGTGCATGTTGAGCTTGTAGCTACGGTTTATGTGATCACAACTTTGCCATGTGCTCGATTTTCTCATTTTTGTTTTTGTTTTTTCCCCCCTCTCCTCCTCTCCCGTGTCTTTGTGTATCTGGTCGTTTACTGCTTTGTTTCTATTCTCTTTTTTTTTCCACCGTTCTACTTGCTGCTTCTTTGATATATATTATTTTGTTACTTTCTTGCCAGTCTGCCTCCAGGAAAAAAATGAGGCCCCCAGTGGGGCCCATGGCAGCGGAGGCTCCGAAGGACGTTTTGTTCCGTCGCCTTGCAGTTGCACCCGACTATTCGGCCGAGCACAAGGGAGACATTCTTGCAACATGGAGCAACTGCTCCGTCCCGCTGCTTGCCACAAGCATCGAAAAGGGCGATAATGTTCTCTCCGTACATTTGGATCGTTCGCTCCCGTGGGTAAAACTCCCATTTCCCGCCATCGATGTGGCCTGGTGCCCATTCAAGGAGGGAGATAGTTATGCTTCATTCCTGACAGCATGCCGCAGTTGCCCACTGCAATTGTGGGACACGGACGACGCATCGCTTCGTGCGTCGTATGTCTGTCATAACGCGCTTGGAAAGCCGGAAGGCCCCCATTCCTTATTGTGGTCCCGCTGTCGCACCTTTGTTGTGGGCGGATACGGCGGCGCAGACGATCATGTGCATGTGCGTCTCTACGACGTACTCCGGGAAGGGAGCACAACTCAGGCGTCGTATCAATCTCGATGCTCAAAGGGTATTGTTTCGGCTCTTGCAGACGGACCAGCACCCTATGAAGAATCACTGCTACTGGCAGGATTTATACGATCTGGCAATGTTGATGTTATAGACACACGCCATTTAGGTGCAGCAGCCGTACTGCGTGGGTTGCGGTCGGGTGCCGCGCAGATCCAAGCGCATCCAACGTCAGAGTACCTTGTGTACGCTGCAGGCCGACTGGGTGATAATCGAATTGTATGCTGGGACCTTCGGAAAAGCAACCAGATCCTACTCTCCGTTGAGCGGAAGCTGTGCACGCAACAGCCTGCTTTTTTTGGCTTCTTGCGATCCCAAGAAGCAGGAAAGCAGCGAGGGCGCCTGGTGTCTGCTACGCATGACGGCGGTATTTTGGTCTTTGATGTAGACAACGCTGCAGCTCCACCACGACGAATGCATGCGTCTCTGGGGCCCACCGCAGGATTGGCAGTGCTTGAAGATGAAGGCACGGTCGTTGTCACGGTGGGGAAACGTCAATATCCTATCCGAGACACGTATGAGGCGAATGGAGGCGAGTCGAAGATGTGTAAGAGGCGTGGTAAGCGGGAACGCGTCTCATTTGATGATTCAGAGTCGGAGACTGAAAGCGAACCGTGCGGCGAGGAATGTGCCACCGGTGTCGCCGTGCTGAGGGTGTAACGGGGCGTGGCATGGGGAGGCCCCACCTGGGGGTTGTGGTGGACTGCGGAGCTTCATCCCTGCCATCATTTTTTATTCTTCCAGCTTAAAAAAAAAAAAAGAAGTATGTTCTGATCGTGCCGGTCACTGCGCCTGCAGACGGGGCAACTTGTTTCTCTTTCGCATCCTGTGTGTCCCTTCTTTTCCGTTTGTCTTTCGCACTTGTGCTCCAATGAAAGCAACAACAACGGCGACGACGACAACACCAAAGGGAGGGGACTCCTTGCAGCTGAACAGGGTGCGCAGGGCTCTGCGTAAAGCAGGAGAGTAGGAGGACGCAAGCACAAAGCCAAGCAGAGACTTCATTTGGTTTCACTTGGGTGTTGCTCTCATATGCCTCAACGGTGTGCTGGCGTTTCACACGAGGCCAATGAGGAGAGTACAGACACACTGCGGGTGGTAAACTTCCCCTGCGCCCGTCTCATCACGCTTTGTCGTCCAGCCACGCTAAACGCTCTGTCGTTTGAGATGGCTCAACACATGTTGTGGCTACACCTTAAAAAACCGCATTTACACTTTCCACACCGCGCCCTATATATCTTAAAAGGCGAAGGCACCAAGAGCTTCTGTTCTGGGGGTGACATTCGAGATATTATTACCCGTGGCACACTGAGTACCTTCCTGAGAATGACCTATCGCCTGAATTATCACATATTCACGATGCCAAACCCCCAGGTCTCTCTGTGGAATGGCTACGTCATGGGCGGAGGTGTTGGTGTTTCCGTTCATGGACGATATCGCGTGGCGTCAGAGCATACTCTGTTTGCAATGCCAGAAACGGCCATTGGCATGTTTCCAGATGTGGGGGCATCATGGTTCCTGCCCCGTCTAAAGATGCAAGGGCTCGGCCTGTACCTTGGTCTCACCGGGGCGCGCCTGAAGGGGGCGGATGTGGCGCACACGGGTCTTGCAACACACTACGTTCCTTCCGCTTCCTTTGCGCAGCTGGAGGAACGCCTGTGCCACATTGACGACCCTGCGAAGGCGGAGGCGTGCCTGGGGGAGTTTGCTGTGAAGGACTTGCCCCCGTTTACGCTTGAGCCGCACCGTGAGATTATTGAGAAGGCCTTTGC